AACTGAAAATAAGACCTTGAAACAGCAAATCTCAGGGTATTTTTAACTGCATCTGTTGCTATCTGTGCTGCCTGTCAAAACAAGAGCCTGTTTCATACCCCCCTGTGTTTCTGGGTTCTGTGTGAGGTGTTCTTGGACCAGCTTTGCAGTCTGAGGGAAATGCAGCATGGGGGAACAACAGATCGGGGAAGGGAGATGGATACATTCATCAAGTCTGTCTTTAGAGTAAATATTAAGTAGACAGAAGTTAAATATTTAACTGGAATGTAATCAGGATTCCAGTCCCCTGTGTAAAACAAATACAATCAACTTTAAAAGGTAAAAGAGACTTGTATTTCTCTTTGCATATTTTGTTCAAAATTATTTGAAAATACTAGAGAAAATAATTCAAACTTGCAAAAATCTTTATAGTAAGAAAGAGAAATCTCATAGCAGCTGTAGCTGAGACAATACTTTTGACTTAACACTTTTCTGAGATAATTAAGCTAAATAATCAGACTGTATATATGTCTCCAGGCAAATACTTAATCATCTACTTTGGTTGTTGTTGCTGTAAGGATCGTTCTTTTTGGTAATTTGCCAGTGATGAGTGGAAAGCAATACTTCTAATGTTCATCTTCCTTCAGTGCTCTGCTGAGCGTGCTGAATTGCAGGTAGCACACTGTGGTGTATTAATCACATGAAGGGATTTATGGCCACTGTTCCCATTGGAGCTCATGGAGATAATGTGCATTCATAAATCCTGCAAGCTTCCAGATGCCAGTATGCTTACTAACTAGCAGACCTGGCTAGAAAATATTGAGAGATATACATTTTTTCCATTAATTTGCTTCAGGATCGAGGTTCTCTGGAGAAATTTGTCTGAGCTGAAAATGCTTTGGTGAGTATAACCAAATTATGAAGTATGGATGGCAGGTGGTTTCTGTGCATGGTTCTCTACAGGTTCCCTTCTCCAAAGAAAAGCTATAATCCCAACCTGACACCTCATCCCAAATGTATTCTTTGTGAGACATTTATAGGAAGAGCAATGGGGACAGTCAGATCTCCATGGCAGCCACACCAGGAATTGCCAGGAAGTTGCAGCAGATCCTTGCCATGAGTTTACCCTCAAGTAAACTCATGCAGATCTTTCCTACTCTGCCAAAGACACTCACAGGAGGTAAAGATTGAGTGCTGGTCTCAGGACTGATTTGAGTGGTGGCCCTTGCAAGCCAAAGAGGCTTGAAACAGGGGTGAAGAGAGCCCCAGGTGTGAGCAGAGCACTGATATCCTGCAGCCTTGACCCTGAGCCCCTAGGCTGAAAGATCCACCAGTAGCACACAGGCTGTGCAGATTTTTCACAAGTTCATAGACATACTGGTGGGAAGGGACCCCACCCACCCTCCCACTCAGAGTGGTGTCAACAGCACTAAATCAGCTTGCCTGTGGCTTTGTCTAGCAAAGTCTGTTACAGCTCCAAAGATGGGGGTTCCCTGTCTCCCATTATCTGGTTCCAGTTTTGCACTACCCTCAAGGCGGATGAATTTTTCCTGATGTTCAGCTTGACCTTGCTAAGCTACAATCTGGGCCCTTATCTCTTTTAGACATTTGCCAGTACCAAAAATCGTTTGCTCTTTGCATCTGCCTTTTCAAAGGGAGCTATTAGACCCCTCTAAGCGTCCCCTTTACCAGATTAAGCAAGCCTAAAGTCCTCAATTTTCTCTGTATCTCATAACTTCTGTCTCCCTGATCATCTTGGTAGCAGTTTTGCAATATCCTTCTCTAACTGAGGCCCCAAAATTGGTCCAAAAGTTCAACAAGTCTAATCCACTGGTTTTACTGCAGAGGATTTATTGACACCCTGGATTCTGGTAGGAGGTCTCAGGCATCACAAACAGCACAGAATTTTGAGGGGTTTGAGATGTAGAAGCATTCCATGCATGTGCATATTGATTGTGCATCAGGCAGATACTCCTTAGGGCCTTGTAGGTCAAGATGGTGCTGAAGTCTCAGCAGATGCCTCTAGAACATCCTGGAGAATGGGAATGGAGCCTGATTTTAAAAAATGCATTGGCTGTAGATTACAGCTGACATACATGAGCTGACTGCATTATCGTGAACTCCAATGATGAGAAGAAGTTGTAAGATTGCCTTTTCTTCAAAAAGATAGGCAGATCAATAGATTTCTTTCATTCAAGCACTAAATAATATTTTTATAGCAATCATTTTAAAAGTCTGTAAGTTTTGTGCAACTAAGCCTGATTAGTTTCTTAAATGTATAGTTTCTTTATGTTGTATGTTATGTATGTTATAACAAAAAAAAATTGTGATCCTGTCTTTGGAAAGAATATAATTCTGCTGCAATTTCAAAGAGGACTGAAAATAATTGTTTAAAATGTATGTGTTAATTAGCATTTCTATATCACTCTTCCTTGAACATTGAAACCTTTGGAGCCCTGAAATTATTTGCTAGAACTTGGACAGATGTGGTAAGAAGAAGGTGGTATTTCCATCATTTGGTCCCAAGGCCAAGTTCTTCAGCATTGCTGAAAATGCAGTTTTCTTGGCACAAATAAAGACATTTTCTTTAAACAAAATTAGGATTTTCTGGCATACTCTAGCTGGCAGCTCTGAGAAACTTTACAACATCTGAGGAAAAAACTGAAATGGGAAAGGAAAACTGAGGCATCTGACACCATGTCTGGCCTTTGCTTATGGGTTTTATTTGGAGGATGCTGACTTCTCCCTCAGCCTCTGTTGCACACTCCATGTGCTGTTCATTCCAATTCCTGTGGTTATGGCCAGATGTGACCAGGGGCAGCTCTGTACTTTTCCAGCAGCCCACCTGCATACATCCATCTCCCCACCTGCCAAGGCACTGCAGTGGGATACAAAACCCCAGTCCTGCACTACACCATGTGATTCATGGGGTCTGGGTAGTTTTGTCATCTCTGTGGCATGAAATTCTTTCCTCATGATGCAAACTATGCCAGTGTGTATATGTGCACTGCAGATAATTTCTGAGTGGAATCCATTTCAAGTAAAGCTGGAAGTCTGAGAGCTGGCTGGATCTAAAGCTCATTATGTGAGCTCCCTTTCATAGTCATGGGACAGAAATGGGCACCTCTGGAGGGCGAATCACCCTCCCTGTTTTGCCTGTTGCTCCTGACTGACACATGAGGAACTCTCTAGCTCTCTAAGGCTGGCAGCAGAAGGACGTGGCTCAAGTTATTCTCTCAAAATTCTGTCCAGGTAAAAAGTCATGGCTGTTTCTTTGTACAACTTTTCACTAAGTGGTCTGGCTTATTCCTTTATTCTTCCCACATCCAAGCACAGGCTTAGTTTTGACAGGTTAGAGACTGGAGCCAAACAATTGTGAGTAACAATCAATAGAGATCCTTGTTGAGGTCACAATCATAAAACTGTACCACTAGGAAATAAAAACAGAGGAAGTAGACATCAAAATTAATGTTTGTGAAATATGTGCCAAAAATTAATTTACTAGGCAAGTAACGCTGGTTCAGTTTTACTGATAATTTGTTTCTATTATGCAGCATTCCTTCACTTACAGTTGTGACATATCACTTATTTCTTTAGGACTATTCCAGCAAGTTAAAGACCATATTAAGTCCTAACAGGACCTCTGGGACACAAAACACTCTCCAAATACTTTGAATTCATTTGCCTTTAAAAGCATAAAATAAATCATGGACTAATCACACTCTTCATTGAATTTTGCCTGCAAACCATACATATTTTTGAGTTCAGTTTCTTTATCATACCAACCTTTTCCAGCAATTCTTCTCTAATTGTACAGATGCAGCAACAAGTCAAGGACCATAACTGTGTTTCTAAAATGCGGTGAAAAAATATTCCTTAGAATCTTAAAGCTATAAGCATACATCATCATACTACTTTTAATACCTGTGTATATTTGCAATAGGAAAAGTCACACAGCTATAGAATATTAATAAGAGAAGAAAAAAGTCCTCACTATCATTCACACATATGGAGAATCAATTTTTGTTTCGACTGATGATGTCACCTTCCTAGAACAAAGTGCTCAGGAGGGCCAAGGAATAATGGAATAATTCATCTTGTAGTCTTGCTAATTTTTCAGTGGTCTGGTTTGTAAGATTTGTAATTGTTTTTACTGTACGTGCACCTAAAACAGACACAAAAGCTCATTTTAGGAAAGAAAACCATCAAAAATGGTCAGAATTTCACAGGTTTCAGATTGAAGTATTCAAGCAAATGTGCCTGTCTCAGTTTTCTGTGCAGCAACACTCCCAGGTGAGTGTGTTGCTCTGCACAAGCCCCAGTGAGTCAAGCAGTAGGACTGAGGATGTGGAGGTATAACACACTGTACAGTGAGGATTTAGCACAATAAAAGGTGTGGGGCCTCAAGAAAGTAACATGATATTTAAAAAAACAAATGGCCAGCCCATCCTGCATGTGGTCTGTAGTCCTAAACCTACTAGCAAAAACATAAAAAAGTCATGCAATGAAAACTGTGTGGCCCAACAGAGTCAGAAAGGGAAAAGACTAGAGGAGATTACCCAAAAGAGGGAACAGAGCACCCATAAAACATGGCAGCTCAAATGTAAACAGAAAAATAAGAGAGCTACAGAAGAAATAAGTGCACATGGAAAAGGGGGATAACAAAAAGCTGAAAAGCAAGAATACAGTCAGGAAGCTAGTGACCAACTTGGGCACTTGGTGACCAACATGTCAAAAGGGCATTTACGATGATGAAGCCAAAGTAGCAAAGATCAGTGAATTTTTTGTATCAGTCTTAACACAGAAGACCATGAGTAGATTCTTTGCAAATAGGTGAGCAGAGCTAGATCAGGTTGAGATGAAGAGACAGGGTATAGCAGTGTAAACAAGAAAGCCACATCCTATCAAGTAGTGAGACTGGGATAACATTGATTTGGGAGTGCTGAAGAGCACCTATGCACAACTAGGGGGCTGTGGGCCAAGGTGTATGAGTTGTCATTACCAACAGCTGCTTGCTAGAGACCTTGTTAAAGTGGATTTTCAGTGGAACTTGTATCCACAAAAGGCTCCAAAAAGATACTATCAGTCAGTGTCTCTGACTTCCAACCCTGGTAAGGTGGCAAGCTGATGCAGAACAGGATTGTTTGAACACATGGGTTAGCATTATTTATTTTTGGGAAAATTCAAGAGAGCCTCTGTGAAGAGAGTGATGCCTTGGGTTATAGCTTTTATATTTTTCAGATTCTCCGCTGCTTAGTGTACAACTCTGAAACTTCATATTTTGCTCTGCCCAAAGTGTATCCTTTCAATAAATACCTATTTTATTCCTTTAGTTCTGTTTAGGCTCTGCTCCAGGTCAGCCTTTCCAGGCATCACCCAGTGATGCTCTGGGAAGGTGCTAAAGGGAGCATGCTGATAAAGGGTGCATTTTTATTCGGATATAGCAATTGTGGATTTGCAAAAAGCTTATGATAAAGTTCCACACTGAAGGTTTTGAAAAAGTTATGTTGCTATGGGACTGGAAATAGGTCCTTTTTGGACTGAAAGCTGGTTGAAGGATTGGAAACAAACCATATTTCCTAATGGTAACTTTCCAAATTCTAAATATCAAGATTTTTCAAAACAGAAAGTATTTCTTTACAAGGTAGGAAAAAATTTTTCATGGAAAAGGTTGTCAAGCCCTGGAAAAGGCTGCCCAGGGAAGTGGTGGAGCCACCATCCCTGGAGGTATTTAAAAGATGTGTGAGTGTGGCACTTGGGGATATGGTTTAGTGGCAGAGCTGGGTTAATGGCCAGATGCAATGATCTTGAATGTCTTATCCAACTTATATGATTTATCAATTCTAAGTCAGTAGTCATATTTTTATTACTTAATTGTCTCAGGAGGTTGCAGAGCTGCTTAAGCAGAGGAGATTTAAATAGAAATGAAGCAGATTTATAGACAACGGGTTCAAAACAAGTACTAAAGGGGAAAGACAGGTATTTACCCTTTCACATCCCTCATCTAGATCAGGAATTGATAGGAGATGATAGGGAAGTAGGATGGGAAAGGACCATAGAAAATGGCCTGGTTTCAGTGCTCTTGAAATAACTTGTGGTCTTTTTCCCTAGGAAAAATCAGAATTCTGAAAAAGAATTATAGCTTGTTAAAAATACCTGTGTTTATAATCTCATCCAAAAATTGAGGGCTATGAGGAGGAAAGTTTATGTTTTTAATGAAAGGAGGCATGCCAATCACATATAAACGAACACAAGTAAAAATGGGGGAAATCTGGGGTCAATCTAACTACTCCTCAGGTGCAAGTCTGACACCTGAAGCCCTCAATGAAAATGGCAATGCAGACCCCGTGCTGGCATCATAAAACATCAGCTGGAATTACAGATGGCACACAGCCAACAAAGTAAAATATCCCTTGGTCTTCTGTGTTGAACAAAACTTTTCTCTACGAGGACTTTGTCTTGACAAGAAAAGGAAATCCAGCTGAAGAGGCTGTTTGGCTTTATCCCACTATGTCCCTTCCTTCCCTGTCTTGGCTTCATCTTTGCTGTGTCCTGTGAAGCCTGTGCTCTACTCCATCCCAGGTACTTCTCTATCCCAGGAACCCCCTGGGGCAGATTGGTTCCAGGCAGCTTGTGGGAGTACCTGTGGAGATCAGGCTGGTGAGTGGAAACCGCATTGTCCAAGTGTAACACAGAGAAATTGCTTTCACCACCTGGAACTCTGCTGCTGGCTGTGAGCCAGCAGCTCCTGCCTTAGCAACCTGTTTGTGTCCCTCTCCCTCCTTCCATCCATTCCACCTCAATGGGTACTCTTCAAGGCATCATTTGTCTCCACCTGTACAAATCTCAAAGCTGACCTGGCACTCACCTCCCACAAACTTACCTGCTGAGTGTTTTAAATTTCATGGTTGGTACTTGCTCCTGACATTAGGTACATTTGAAAATCTTGCCTTAAAACACTTTTTGAAGTTAAAGCTGTTTTTCCAATTTGTTGCTCCCGAAGGATTTCTCCCATTCCAGGTGTTCTCTGATTTCTACTGGAAGAGGGATTAACACCTGGACTAATGGCTGGGTGATGCCCCTTGATGTAACAGTGTTGAGTACCAGATGTTATTTGCACTTTCACTGCTCTATGTGCAGCACTAATATATGAAAGTTGTTCACAGAGACACTTCCCAGCCTTCCCGACTCAGCATGGATTGTGTCATTCAGCTCTGCTGGAAACCTCTAACTGGAGGCATTAAAGGATTTTCCTCCAGAGAAAAATGCAGGCACTAGTGGCTTGATCTAAGTTCTTCCACTGTGTTTCTGTGTCTGTTTTTGAGTGTGAATTGTTGCACATATATATTTGCTGGGCAGTGTGGGGTCAGATGGATTTACAGCAGATAAACATGTGCCTTTGAATATTCTAAATTTATTTATATGTTGTATTTTCTTTCCATATCTTGATCTGAGGATTATTAAACTGATATTAGAAAACACTACATTGCAAATGTTATCTTTTTGGCTCTTTGTCCAGGATGCCTTAATGATTGAGAAGAGGAAAGAAAATGGAATGAAGGCATTCTGTCAAAATTAGGTGTTTAGTTGCTATAAACCTCCATATACTGTTGGGAGACCTGGTAAAAATTCTTAGAAAACCAGTAGGAACTTAGAAAATGTTGGAATGTGTCTAGGAGACACTCTTCTTGTCCAGAAGACTCCTAAAATCTTGACAGAACAGAAAACTGTTTGACAGCTTCTTTTTTGGAAGCTGAGAGAGCTGGAGGTGGTTTGCTGGATTAGAATGTGCAGCACTAGCATTAATGCAGAACCTGGCTTATCTTCACAGCAACAGAGGCCATTTGTAAAATCACACTATCAGCACTAGCATAAAGACAACTTAGAAGAGCTTCAAATATTCTGTGAAAAAACCCCCCACCATTAATTCATATTCAAAAAGAGTTGCTCCACTGCTGATAGGAAGGATGGAGTGTATCTTTGGGATGGAAATTGTTGTGAAGAACCTTCTGGGACCATGTCTTCATCTTCACGAGGGTTTTATGAAAGCCTGCTGATTCTTATAGATGCTCCAGAAATACTAACTGAAGAAGATTTCTGCATCCAGTTTTGCTCTGTATCATTTCAGAGCAACTCACAGGAAATAAGACTCAGTGGACCATGACAAGTCCCTGGTGGTTCAAACTCTCTTCTTGGATGTCTGGAGGCAGACTGACTTTGGGCTGCTGAGATACTTGTGATGAGCTGGTCTTGCCAGGCACTGAACATTCTGGAGGGAGTCAGAAATGAGTGGTTGTGGTTACTCCAGCGATGTGGAGTAAGCACAGAACTGGTTCCTTTGGCAAAATTATTCAATGTTTAAACCCACAATCAGACCCTGTTCTGGACTAAAGCTGTATACCCTACTTTGGGCATCCCCCACCCCCCCAAAGATCTTATAAAGAGGATCTTATAAGTACCCCTAAAATAATTATGCTTTTACTGGTGCAACATATATGGAGGGAGATTTTGTAAGAGATAGAGGGGCAGGACCTGGGAAATCAGGACAGTGAGAGGAAAGGGATATGATTTCTAGGTCCTCCTAAGCTTATGGGAAAGTGTATTGAGAACTCTTCTCAAGAGAGATCAGATTGCTGGGCAGTAATCGCCTTAGTGGGCCACCCTCCACAGCCAGGGGCCCATGAGAAATTATCTTGTCATCAGGGCAAGAGTGGCAGCTCCCAGGGACACAGGCCAGATTTTTCTGATCACTCTTTACAGCCTTGCTTGAGGAGATGGTAAAGTGCTTTCCTGAATCTCATCCTTCATCCTCCTGTATATGTAGCAAGATGAGTACTCTGCATAGCTTTCACCTCGTCCTCTTCTGAGACTGGCAGGAGCAGCAATTCTCATGGTACATGAGAATACATCACTAGAGTGACAACTAAGCCCAGCTGGGAGAATCACCTCTCTGACAGCAGCACGTCCAGGTACATGCCAAGCCACAGGAGGACCAGCATCCATCAGCCTCCATTACATCTTCCAGTGGTAGAAGTGCTGCCCAAATGTGCCTTTCCCAGCCCTTCCTCCCCTCCTCTGCCAGGAGGGGAATGCCACATCCCCTCCCAGTGTTGTGTCAACCCCCCTCAAACTGCCTCACACCTCACTTGAACCCCTCTCAATCTGTAGCCCTGGAGGTTTAATAAAGGTAATGACACTTGTCTGCCCCAGGCCATCCCTCTAAGTCAGCAAAGAGTGCTCTGATCTTGTAAATCACACTGTAAATTGCCTACATATCTCTCAGATTTTGTTTGTTTATTTGTTTCAGTTTTCCTCTGCAGCTCTCAGCTGGTGCTGGACAAGGGAGACCGGATCAGACCAGCCCAACCATGGATTTCAGCCAGCATGGCAAATCTGGAATAATTTATCTTCTTTCTTTTTTCTTTTTTTCCCCCAAGTAGAGCAGCAGCAAGTTTGCTTTTGAGCCAGCACCTCACAGTCCCTTGTGACTATCACAGATACAAAAATCATGTGAGGTTGCTGGGTAACTCACAAATGTAAGTACTGTACATGTCCCAAGGACTGCACTGTATTTAATCAAAAGTTACAAATACTATATAAACATACCAAATTCAGGGGAATCTGCTAATAATTCAACAGAGCAAGGGTAATAATGCTGCTCATAAATTTAAAACTCTTTACATACTAAACAGGAACTGCTGACAACATAGCACTTACCATAAAATCTGTAAAAATGGGGAAAAATATGATTCTCTGGCGATTGATAAATCAAAGACATGAAACCTATGGAGTAAACCCAAGAAACAGTGAAGGAAGTCTGCCAGAATCAAAGAAAACAGCATCCAAATTAACCTAAGCAAGATCCAGACTCAAGCTATAGCCACAGATCAAAACATTCCTCTGTATATAAACATCCTGCCATGGGGGCTGATCAACATCTCACATTAGTAATACTATATTCCCCTAGAAGGGCTTTCAAGGCACACATCAGCACAAAAGATGTGAAGTTCAAAGCCAACAATAAGAAAACAATTAGAAACAGAAATCTCCCGCTCAAGGACTCCACCAAGAATGGCAAACTTTTTTATTAGCACAATAATCCCTGCAGTGGCAAAGAAGAACACTCAGAGAAGTCAGAGAAGAGACAAAATAATCTTCAAAAATGAGAATAACAATATGCTAGTGTACAATATTTTATATGTTCAAAGTGGGAAACAAACTTCTGCTTCAGGAGCTCCCTTTCTCTACCCATGTTTCCTTTGTTTCTTGGATTTCTGCTGCAGCTGTTAGAGAAAATATCCCATTGTAACTGTGATGGTGCTAATCACAAATTGTTAAAATAACATTGCCTTTAAAATAAAACAATGCAGTGGCTGTGCTGCTGGATCACGTTCATCCCTCTTTGTGTTTTCTGACAACTGCTCCAAATAAAGGACTTTACCTGCCCCATCCAAGATTTGCCACCATTACTGCTGCTGCTCCAGTTACTTCGGGCAATGCTGAAATTAGCTTGTTTTTTCCAATATTTACTCTTTCTGTGATTTTTTGTTTGTTTGTTTCCTTGGCAAATGTAATTTCAGTGAATTGACACTGAAGAGCCACCAAAGACAGATGTTTGCTCAGAGGTTCCCCATGCAGTAATATAGTCCAGGGAGAACCCTGAGGCCACTGAGAACAGCTTAACCACAGGTGAGACTTCCCTCCCAGGGAGCTCTCAGAGCCTGGCTGCAGTGGGACAGGTTTACCTCATCTAAGCAGTGGCCTTGAGTGCCCACCTCCTCATGCTTTTGTTGAAATGCAGCATCCACAGCGCTTCATTTAGTTAGGGAAGGCGATTAAATCAATCATCCCCAAATATTCCATGTCTTTCCTACCAGCACTTCGATGTGTTGGATCATAGGAATGTTGGAGAACTTTGGCTAAGATACAAGAGCAGATTTTTATTGTTCAAAACTGTTTCTTTAGCAATATTGAACAAGAGGAAGC